GTTGTATGCTTATTGTTTTTTCTTTTTATATGTATGTTGTTGTTTTTTTATCATCAGTATCCCTGTAGTATGATAATTTTTCATTTCTTTTTATATTTATGTTGCTTTTTTATCATCAGTATCCTTGTTGTATGCCAACTTTTCATATTTTTTTATATGTACGTATGTTGTTTTTTATCATCAGTATCCCTTATCTATTTTAGTATTCTATATCTTTTTTTCTCTCTTTAGTAAATATACAGATATAGCTACTTCGACTAATATTACACTTGGGAGGCGGGTCGAGTCAAACTTGCAATGCACATATTTTAATGCGCATATATTAAAGTAATTTCTTTCTTTCTTTCCTAGTATTTTACGATTCATTTCCTGTTATACTTTGTTCTTTGTCCTTGAAGAGAATATCTTAGATCCTGTAAAATTGAATACTAGCTTATGAAAGAAGTTACCCATTTTTTTTTTTAGCAATTGGGCGAAGTGGAGTAGACTGAAATGGCCATAGACTGAAGTGGCCATAGAATGAAGTGGCCATAGACTGTATATTGAACTTTTCCCCACTTTATTCCTTCCTGTCTGCTCTTTATAGATTCATAGCCTGTATTAATTAATCTATGTAGACATGTTTTTTCTTTTTCATCTTCTTCTTTCCCATTTCTTTTCTTCTTCTTCCTTCTCCTTCTTCTCCTCTCCTCCCTCTTTCTCCTCTTTCTCCTTTTCTCCTTCTTTTCTCTTCTCCTTCTCCTTCTTCTCCTTCTCCTTCTCCTTCTCCTTCTCCTCCTTCTTCTCCTTCTTCCCTCCTTCTCTTCTCCCTCCTCCTTCTCCTTCTCCTTCTCCTCTCCTCTTCTCCTTCCTTCTCCTTCTCTTCTCCTTCTCTCTTCTCCTTCTCTCTTCTCCTTCTCCTTCTCTCCTCCTTCTCCTTCTCCTCTCCTTCTCCTTCTCCTTCTCCTTCTCTCCTTCTCCTTCTCCTTCTCTCCTTCTCCTTCTCCTTCTCCTTCTCCTTCTCCTTCTCCTTCTCCTTCTCCTTCTCCTTCTCCTCTCCTTCCTCCTTCTCCTCTCTCCTTCTCTCCTTTCTCCTTCCTCCTTCTCCTTCTCCTTCCCTTCCTCTTCTCTTTCTCCTCTTTTCTTCTCTCTCTTTTCTTTCTCTTTCTCTTTCTCTTTCTCTTCTTCTTTCTCTTTCTCCTTCTCCTCTTCTCCTTCTCTTCTCCTTCTCTTCTCTTCTCCTTCTCCTTCTCCTTCCTCCTTCTCCTTCTCCTTCTCCTTCTCCTTCTCCTTCTCTCTTCTCCTTCTCCTTCTCCTCCTTCTCCTTCTCCTTCTCCTTCTCCTCTCCCTTCTCCTTCTCCTTCCCTTCTCCTTCTCCCTTCTCCTTCTCCCTTCTCCTTCTCCTTCTCCTTCTCTTCTCCTTCTCCTTCTCCTTCTCCTTCTCCTTCTCCTTCTCCTTCTCCTCCTCTTCCTCTTCCTCTTCCTCTTCCTCTTCCTCTTCCTCCTCCTCCTCCTCCTCCTCCCTCCTCCTCCTCCTCCTCCTCCCTGCCTCTCCTCCTCCTCTTCCTCCTCCTCTTCCTCTCCTCTTTCCTTCCTCCTCTTCCTCCTCCTTCCCTCTTCCTCCCTCCTCCTCTCCTCTTTCCCTCCTCTTCCTCTTCCTCTCCTTCCTCTTTCCTCTTCTCTCCTCTTCCTCCTCTTCTCTTCCTCCTCTTCCTCTTACCTTCCTTCCTCTCTAGCCTCTGTCCTCTTCCTCTTCTCTTCCTCCTTCCTCCTCCTCCTCTCCTTCTCCTTCTCCTCTCTTCGTCTTGCTTGTGTGTCGTAGAAATTGCTGCAGTCTCATTTATATCTAGAATTATTAGCATGGAAGACCCATTCTTTTTCCATTGCTTAATTGAAGGTGTGTTTTGTGGTTAAGTTCCCCCTCTCTGGGTGTTTTGTCCTTGCTTTTGCCCTTGTTATTGTTCGTAAATGTAGATTAGTGCGTATTTTGTTGTAGTCTCTCTTTCTTTGTGCTTTTGTTGTCATGTTGTTGCGGTCGCCGTCTGCATTCGTCTATCATCATTATCTTTAGCATTTATCCTCATTACCATCATCACCACCATTATTTGTCATCATCAACCACCATTATATATCATCATTACCATCCTCACTCACCATTAGTTTACCTCGTCATTTACCATCATCACCACCATTATTTATTCATCATTACCATCATCAACCACCAATTTTATCATCACTACCATCATCACCACCATTATTTATCAATCACTTACCATCATCACCACCATTATTTATCATCACTACCATCATCACCCACCAACTTATTTATCATCACTCCATCACCAACCATTATTTATCATCATACCTATCACACCCACCATTATTATCATCATCCATCACCACCCACCATTTATTTATTCATCATTGCCATCAATCGCCAACATTATTTATCATACGATCACCACCATTATTTATATCATTACGCTATCATGCACTATTATCATCACCTACCATCAATCTTCCACCGATTATTTTTATCATCATCACCAACCATTTATTTTCATCAGTATGACCCATCATCACCACCAATTATTTATCATCATTATCCATCATCACCACCATTATTTACTTTCATCTACCCCACCATTATTTATCATCATTACCATCATCACCACCATTATTTATTCATTACCTCATCACCACCATTATTTATCATTACCATCATCACCACCATTATTTATCATCATTACCATCATCACCACCAATTATTATATCATATCACCACCATTATCATTACCATCATCACCACCTATTATTTATCATCATACCATCATCACCACCATTATTATCATCAATACCATGCATCACCACCATTATTTATCATTACATCATCACCACCACATTACCATCATCCCACCCATTATATCATTTCATCATCAATTTATCATCATACCATCATCACCCACCATTATTTATATTTTCATCATCCTACATCATTACCAACCACCATTATTTATCAAATCATTGATATTACTAATCATCACCACCATTATTTATCATCATTACTATCATCCATTACCATCATCACCACCATTATTTATCGACCAATTTTTCATCATTACACATCACCATCATTATTTACCATACCATTCATCATTACATCATGCAACCATTATTTATATCATACATCATCACCACCATTATTTACCATCATCACCACCATTATTTATCATCATTACCATCATCACCACCATTATTTTCATCAATCACCACCATTATTTACCATCATTACCATCACCCTTATACAAAATAGGCATGGAGTTTGTTGCCCGTAACATAATTTCAGTTCTTAATGTTTAAGTTGATGCATGTACCACTTAATAGGCTCTTCCCTTGGGCCATTAGAGGTTGTTCAAGTTTATAGCACAAATTCCGTTGGTGTAATTAAACAATGATTACGCCGTGTAAAGATAATGCTTGTGTTAATGATGGTGATAAGAATGGCCCCGTGGAAGGAGATCCGAAGAGAGGGATTGAATAAAAGATAAGGGGATGAAAATGAAGGGGCGTAGGAGCGTGATAAAGCAAGAATATTTGTAATTAAGTTTTGGGGGTTTTGTTATCGGGGTCTGCAAAGAAATGAGCAATTGATTGGGGTTAATGAAAGTCATTTATTTTGCGATATTGAAGGTATATTTAGCTTTAATTGACTTTGGGAGATTGAGAAGTTTGTGGGTGTGATACCTATAGGTTATATTTTGCAACATAAAGGATGTATAGAATGAATTAATTTTGGAATACTGAGAAGTTATATTAGATGTGATAGCTCTAGGTTATTGTAATGTTTGAGAAAGTAATATGTATGATTCATAGTTGGTATGGCTTGTTCTTGGTATTGTAGATTTGCTTTTATTAGCATTACAGATATCAGTTGCCAGTATTTGTACATAATTAGAACTTTCTGTTATTCTGTTTTTTTTTTTTACTTCAAAATAACTCTTCATTATTGATGATCTAATATTCCATCTTTCAACATCTTTCAAGATTCTTTTAAAGGATATCAGTTTGATTAAAGTCTAGTGCAGATTTGACAATTTTTGCAGACATTAATAGACAGAGCTCTATAGTCTTCACTACCATTGATAAAGATTAAAAAAAAAACATTATGTGAATATGTTCTAAGCCATTGCTGAATTATATAATATCCACAACCCCATTACCCATTAAGACAACCCACACAGCAATACAATCCACATCCACGTGAAAATTGAACACATAAAATAAAGAGACTGAAATATCGACACAAAAATAAGAAGACTAAATGAGAAATATCGACACAAAATAAAGAGACTGAAATATCGAACAAAATAAAGAGACTGAAATACTCGACACAAAAAATAAGAGACTGAAATATCGACACAAAAATAAAGGAAGGACTGGAAATACGTTTTACAACACAAGAATAAAGAGACTGAAATTATCGACACAAAAATAAAGAGACTGGAGATATCGACCACAAACAAAAATAAAGAGACTGAAATATCGACACAAAATAAGAGACCGAAATACGGACACAAAAATAAGAGAACTGAATATCGACCCACCAGAAAATAAGGAAGCTTGAAATATATATCGACAACAAAGAATAAGACGACTGAGATATTCAGACAACACAAAAATAAGAGACTAGAGATATCGACAACAAAAAATAAGAAGACTGAGATATCGACGAACACAAAATAAAGAAGACTGAAATTCGACACAAAAATAAGGAGACTGAAATATCGACACAAAAATAAATAGACGAAATATCGACAACATCTCCAAATAAGAGCTGAAATAATCGACACTAAAATATAAGGAGGAGCTGAAAATATCGACACACCCAAAAATAAAGAGACTGAAATACGACACAAAAATAAAGAGACTGAAATATCGACACAAAATAAAGAGACTGAAATATTCGCCCTCCTTTGTTCACAGTGACGAGATGAGAGAGGACATTCCCCAGCTCCTGCTGT